TGTTTTTGTTTGGTCAAAGTTTGTTATTCTTCAGTGTTTAACATATCGTGTTAATTTAGGCTTGCCTTGGATGCACAATATTGTGCGTTGAAATTTCTTTTGTTGTTAAGGAAAGAATTTCCTAGCTAATTTTAGTTATATCAAGCAATAGTTACATCGTCCACTAATAGGTTAACTATAGAACTAGGGGGATAATCCAATCAAATAGCCCATGAATTACAACACCCCAACTTATTAGCTAGCTCATGTGCGAATACATTCGATTATCTATTATAGTGTTGAACTAAAGCCTTTGCAAACTCCGTCAATCAAGAACCTACAATCATCGATGATATACGCCCCCACTAGTGAGTGACGTAAATTCGTGTTGAGTGCTTCTACTAGCTTTGCATTGCCAGACTATACAATGAGATGATTGCATTGTGTGGCATGGGCAAGTGCCAAACCTTCCTTCAATGCAGCAACTTCTAGAGTGATAACATCAACAATGTGCTCTAGACGAGCCATTGTTGCGCCAACAAATAAGCCGCAATGTCGAATTTAACAAATGTACAATCAAGCAGTTGGGCCATAATACCTTCACAATGATGTGTCAACATGTTAGCACATTGGGGACCAGTGGCAACTACCTGGAATAGGGACAGGGATAAAGGTTGTCGACGCGAGCATGGGGGACTGGTGGAGCTCACGGGATCTACAAAAATCTCTTCGTGTTGGATGTAGAAGAGCTCCTGTTTCCCTCTGATGCCGTTCTACAAGTCGCTGACATGGGCATCTGGAGAGGGCGCATGACTGATGGAAGAGATGAATGAGTGGAACTATCGTCCCATGTGGACCCTCATGCAGAACCGAGGCTTTAAACGCTATCTATATACTTAGATATACCAAATCCAGTCCATTGGGACCTCGCCATGTTGGCCCAATCACGCCCAGACACCTGCCCAAGCAGTTGATGTCTTCGCGTGCAGATCGTGCGCTTTTGTTAGACCATATTTACCGCATAGGGCATGTAATAGACGACCACTCGTGGCCAATGGATCGGTCCGTTAACGAGCACACATGATTTTTTTGTTTGCTTTCATCGGCGGTGCTATATCGCTTTAAGCATGTGCAAAAAGCTCATGTTGATATATATAATTTTTCCCCAGTGTTGTGATGTATATCTTTCTTCAGATATTTATTTTTTGATTTTTATTTCCAGGTATGCTCTAAAAGTAAAATAAAATCTGATGATATTTCTAATTATAAAAAAAGTTCTCAAAGCAAAAAAATGCAGGAATCTGAAAAATGCAGCAAGAACTGGCGCCTACAGCGACCAGCCATGGGCCGCGGCCCATTAAAAGATCGCTCGCTCGCTCCCTTTCCGTTCGCTCGCTCGCCTGGATGTAGAAAAAAAGACTCGCATCGCTTGCTTTTTTGGGCTGTGCTGCGCCGCTGGTTCAGGAAAAAGACCGGCCTCCGGTTTTTACAAGTTTGAATATGTTTGCGAAAAAAGGTCATATATTATTAAGAAAAGTTCATTGATTTTGAACAAGAAACTTCACAAATCTGAAAAATGTTCATCTGATTAGAAAAAAGTTGATCAAATTGAATATAGTTCACTGGATTTGGAAAAAAGTTCACCGAATCGAAAAAAGTTCACTGGATTTGAATTTTTTTTTCATCCAATTGAAAAGGTTCATCAGATTTTAGAAAAAGTTCAGCGATTTTTAGAATAAGTTCAGAAAAATGTTCAGAAGTTCATTCACTTTCAAAAAAAAGTTAATCAGTTTGAAAAGAAATCATTGAACTTGAAAAAGTTCATTGAAATTAAAAAAAAGTTCATCGAATAGAAAAAA